GCCTTTCACTCGTACCTACGAAAACACACCCAGATCATGGCTCCATATACGCAGGCGGCGCCAGCTCTCCACGAAGACTTCTTGAGATTCACCATGCCCAAGACCCATTAATTCTCCCATCGCGGGAGTAGTCCTCTCCTCCTATTGTGTTGGGTTTCTTCGGCGTCGCTGCGATGCGTCGTCGCGGACTCCTACTTCTGGGGGATTCGCAGCTCACCTCCTCTCTTGGGCAGATCTTCGATCGGGGCCGGATAGCGCTTCGCGCTTTCGCCCATTATCTTAGTTCCTCACTCTTGCTCTCTGTTCATGGGTAGGCCTGCCCAAATATATTTGTCCTCTCAAAATATTCCCTCTGCATAAGCACTACAGCGTCACCCAAAGACAGTGCTTCTTTCTTGGCTAGCCAATGGTCGGCCACTGGCACTTCAAACACGGGCTGTATCCGCAACATAATGCGGATACAGCAGGTAAGTTTTCTTTTATGATTCCACTTACTATCTGTCCAATGAATGCACGTTTGTCCTGAGTTTCCGAATGCACGTTTGTGCTGAATTCGACACACCATCGAATTCAGCACAAACGTGCATTCGGAATCTACAAATACGCGCGACGAACTTCGTGAAGACCTGTTGAAGCGTGGTGTTTGTTGTGTGTGGACAGGAGTTACTGAAGGGTATGGAGTTGGTCTGCATATCATTCCCTATAAGCGGGGGTTCCGTGTAGAAACCTAAAATTGTGGCGGGACCAGGGATTGAACCTAGGCCTTCCCAACCCCGGTAGGGACGTCTTGACCATTAGACCGTCCGGCCAAGGGTCAGTGCTCTCACTTGTCCGATGTGTAGATTAGCCACTTCCAACATTCCGAAGTACGTTACAATCATCTGCGAATATATCTGATTGTCCCCAAAATTTTATCTGCGTTCGGTCATCGCTTGGCTGACAAAAATGTACGCAATTCCAGAAACATGCACCCTCAATCTCTTTGGAAGTGCCAGATGGAATTCCATAACCAAACTCAGCCTCGGGGACATGCATGCAGTTGTGTTACCAACAATCCCACTCAGAAAACAACATATCGTTTTTAGTGCTGAAGACACGCGTGTCAGGGGGGTGCACTCCATGAACATCATGAAACAAATAGCTATCTTCCCGAGACGCGCCCTGGTGTTCGTCTGCAACAAATGTAAATGTATGGCTGCCAAAATTCTGGCCCTTGCTGCACGAGGAGACTGTTTGATCGCAGACACGTGAATACCCTAGGATCTTACAGCGGGATTACTTCAAACTGTGCGATCTTTGGGGGGAGGGTTTGTCAGGAGAAATTAGAATAGAAGTGAATGTTCATCGCGCGCCAGCACCACGCGGAGGAACACAAAATAGCCCAGGGCATGTGATGAATAACTGATCCGTCGGACGACATACGTGCAATACTATTTTCAAGTTTGTCAGAGAGCAAGCGTGTCTCATCGATGACGAGTGCCCATACCTCAACGACCAGCGCGAGTGTTCAGTCCCAACACGAACACAAAGACTCATTTACACTGCTTTCAATTTTTATATTATACATAGATCTTCTTCGATGCTTCAGAAATACAGCGACGATTGAGACTGCTTCATGTCGCCGCACGCAAACTCTCTGCGACAGTAGTCCCTTTAGTTCTACCAGGAACCGTATCAGAAAACATCCCGACTATCAGCTATAGGACTCACCCGAGAAACTCTGCTCCGGGATCGGAGAATGCGCTGGAACAAGTGTTATGTTATGAAATCGGCGCGGCAGAGTCAAGACGTTTAACGCACAATTGTTCTCGATCGGACGGCACACCAAGTTTCTCCTCGAAAAATTCAGTAAATGCCTTCGTCCAGACTATCGCATTTTCTGCGTTTACGTTGAACAGGCTCGCCTCGTTTACGAGTTAGTAAAATCTCAGATCTCAGAGCCACTCAACAAACCACGTTAAGCATCAAAGCGGGATCAAAAGTGCCACCAAAAGCGAGGTAGGGGTTATACAAGAAGTTCACATTGAAAACCTTCTCGTCTTTGCCGATGGTCGTCGCGCAGAACTGACACGTACGAGGGGTAAGCATTATCTGAGCACGCACGCGGTGAAATTCTTGACCTTGGAAAACTCGCGAACGAATGCCTTCGTAGCTTCTTCAGAGTCAAACTATATGATGATGTGATTTGTCAACTGCGAGTTAAAAGAGCATGTGGCTATAGTCAAAACAAACCTTGACATTCGTTGTTAGCGTGATCAACGGCATGATAGAGTGTTAATAGCGATAGAATGTTGACGCAGAAGTACGAACTACATATATATACTTATCTTGTGTGAAGCCTACGTAGTAAAGAAGGAACTACTATCTTCATTCGTCTATGGTCTGCCAGGTGCTTAGGAGATGCCTCTACATATAGTTGCTCCGAATTTGGAGTACTTGATATAGGACTGAGAGAGACAGCGGAACAACTTTGGCGCGGGATTCGAAGATATCGTCATACGAAGGGGTTTTTAGGAAATCGGAGTCGATGATACGGAAAGGCAGGCCTCCTTCTATGAAGTAAAATAATCATGTGACACCAAAAATTCCCCTGCTCACGTGATACCAAAAATGGTCGACCTCGGAAAATCGTATGGTCATGCGAACTTTGCAAAGAGGGGGTGATCGTGCCGCAGGCGCGCGGAAAGCTTCGAAGGGGTCAATCGATAGCACATGAGATTCACGTATGTACCTTACTCTATTATCAGCTCTTATCGACTCATCTCTCGCATTCATGTGGTAGTACTGTTGTCGTCTCATTTATATTCGAAGTTATAGATCAGTCTTTGTTGATGTGGTCAACGAAGTTTCACTGAGGTATGTACTGTGTCATCATCCTTTCAATTCACTGAGACTCCCTCTCGCTTTCAAATAATAGGTAAATTTGCCAGATTTATTTGACAGTAGCAAACCTCATTTTTTGCTGCACATCTTCCTCAGCAAGATACTGGGACCACCGTTCACGATTTCCTATGCCTCTGCAAAACGCCGGGATCACTTATGTTGTCCTCTCCGTCTCAAAATTTCAGTTGCATACTAGTCGTTATAGATACCACGCGATACATAACCAAGTACGTGTTAAGTTACACATCAATTCACTTTTTATCCTTGCCTCCGCTGTCACCCCCAGATTCATTGGCATATAGGTCCTCTATCTTTTGCCCTTCGATCTCTGTTTAGCATAATCTATCGCAGCGGTGCGCATCGCCTTCGCGACCCTCGCCATTCGTGGCATCCGCACGCATTTCTCGAAACGGTCAAGCAAACATACGAGCAGGTCTTTCTTCGATTGACTGGCGAAAGCCCTGCACTCGAGCAGGAAGCGTTCATGAGAATGCTGCTGGATCAGTCAACAACACTCGAGTCGGGCACCATGCTGTTCAAGTTGTACGAGGACCTAGAGGTTGATGCATCGACGCCCGATGCGTTGATGGCCGTGCATGGTGGTATCAAGCACCTTCGAGTTGAGTACCTCAAGGAACACTGGCCTCCCTCATTATGATTTTCTTTTATCATGATCTTCATGATGCTCCCATCCGTCCTCTCAATACTAGTTTACTATCAATTTGACTCGTGTACAGCTCCGAATGAGGCTCTGCCAGTTTTCGCATCCCATTCGCAAAACTGTGCATGTGATGATGACTGGTCCGTCGGACGATATATGTCCAATGATGTCTTCAAGTTTGTCAGAGGGCAAGCGTGCGTGTCTTATCGATGACGAATGCCCATATCTCAGAATAATTCTTAACTTGCGGCCAGCGCGAGTGTAACGTTCAGTCCCAACACGAACACAAGGACTCATTTGCACTGCTTT